TAAAAGTGGAATGGAGGTTTGATCCAGGGGTATGTCTCCTATGTAACTTTAGGAGAAGGGTGGTAAGGATTTGGGTCTAAATGGACCTGCAGGGCTAACTCCCAAAATGGCAAACATTATCCCTGTAAGCCCAATTGCCTCTGAAGAGATGCCACCAATAGATGGACTTTTAGCAGGCATTGTGTGCCTGTCATTGGCCCTACTGGGTTTACTGAGTAATGCTGTTGATGCACATGTTGTAAGAAACATGGAAGATGAAGGCCTGACTATCTAGAGAGATTGGATATTATACAGTATTTCTCTCCCAAGGGCCAGCTATTTTCTAGTTGTCCCTGCAGAAGATTGTAAAGGCAACATTGTAAGCCCAGAAGAGGCTCAGGAAAAGAGCATGCAACAGGAGGGAAAGGGGCAGGGCCCAACTTTTGAAAAAATGACATAGCCCAAGGGCATAACATAATATGATTAAAATCATATGGGTCCAAGATGACTAGTCAGATTCAACTAAACCTTGATCCTCAATCTGCAAGCTAAATGACATACCCAGAGGCACCAGCACAGTTCCAAGGCACTGTCAGAAGACAGAGGAGTGGTTGGTTCCCCAACTGTTGGAATGAGCCTCCTACTCATTAGTATGTGAAATCACCCATTCCACAAAACCTAACCACATCACATTCCACGGCCGCTCCCCTGAGCGTGATGGCCCACACCCTGAGCGTGCTTCTTTCTGAATCCAAATAAATCCACGTCTCACCTATCGCTGTGTCTCTCACTGAGTTTTCTTTTTTCAATAAGTCATCAAGAGCCTGAGCTTCATTAGGTCCTGAAGCCAGGCACCGTGGCTTTTGGCCAGGCTCAAGTCCCAGTTGGACGTGATTAAGTGACTAAGCATAGCATAGAGTCCCTGCCACGAGGGTTTGAGTCCCAATCTTAGCTAAATTTTTTCAGGCACAACTTTCGGAAATGGAAAGATGATGACCTGCCCAATACTTTGTAAGCAGTGGCAAAGATGGAGAGAGGAGCTAAAGGATAGGAAGAGAAAGCAGTGGGAAAAACATGCTGAGAAATCCCCTTCATAACCTGCCAGTAAATCTACTAAATACCTGACCTGTGCTCACAGTTTTCATTGGCCTGATCCTTGGAAATAAGTAGAAACTGCCTGGGTGAAATACTTTGAATTTTGAGGATTACTTTATTAGCTGCCACTTTATTATGTGTCAGGGGAGTGTGTAATTTCCTCGGTTCTGTCTCACTGCAGCAAAAATTTGAAGTGATGGATGAATCAGTGTTACAGCTCAGTTTTATATAGAAAGCAAAGGAAAATACATCCTCGGGCCATGAGGGCGGGCCGACCCAAAAGATGCAAAGAGAAGTCCCCGGCTCAATTTTGGTTCCTCTTTTTATATTTTTTCCCCTCCCCCTGAGCCTGCTGTATGTAAATTGGGCTATCCAGGAGGACTGTTTTGTTTACCTGAAGTCCTCAATCTGGTCCTCAGACCTTCCTTTGTTCTATTTTCGTGGGTTTTTCCCTTCTTTGTCTTTTAGCCACTGCCATTTTGTACTCCTTTTTTCCTATTGTAACTACCTAACACAAGTAAACCTTGATTTCTTCCAGATAATTTTACAAAATAAGGGGGTTGGTTTTTTAAAAGACAGTCGATTTTGACAGTGTATATTGAATTTCCAAGTAGAATAAGTCCTCTAAAAATTGATAGAATATGTGTTTTTTCAGCAGTAGTCAGAGAACCAAATAAATGAATGAGATTTAGTTGCTGAGAATATCACAATTTCTATTGTATTTGAAGACTTGACTTGGAGGGTTAATTCTCCACCAATAAACACATTTGCAAGAATCTTCTCTTTCTGGGATATTCAGAGCTAAATTGGTCAGCTCAACTTTTGTTCCCTGATATTAAATTAATTAAAGTATCTGTTGACTCTTTACTACAACCCTAGAAATATTAACCCACTAAGAAATTAAAAATGCTTTAATTTTTAAAAAGCATTTTTTTAAAAATGCTTTAAACAAACATAAAAAAAGCATGTCCCTAGCCTTAAAGAACTCATGGGGAAAGATGAAAAACTTATACTAGGTGTTAAACTCTTTTAAAAATTAAAAGTAGAATAGGATTTAAGGCAAAGATAGCTTTCTGATAGATTGGAATGATACTTCAAAACTCTATAGATAATTTAATTCTGATAGGATTTGGATAGCAGAGTAGAGATGGAGTTTTTCTAGGACACAGAGAGAGGAGGGGAATAGTGTGGCCAATGAACCAAAGATCTCAGGAGCCTGTGGGGAGCAATGGGAAGTGCTTATGGGCTGAATGTATGTGTGTCCTCAGACATCCTTGAAGGAACAGTGAGAACATACCTTGATTTGGGAGGCAGGAAGGTGCCATTTAGCTTTTTTTAGCAGGAGGTAAAAATAAGAATCTTTTATGAACTACTGTGCATTCACATTTTAGATGAGAGAAATATTCAGATGTACAATATAAAGACAATTCAGAATCCAGTCCTATTTTGTGTTTGGTGTCTATGAGACAGGATTCATTTTTGTTCAAGGAGTAGAAGCAATGATAATTTGTGTCTTAGCCACTGCACAGTGTGTTTATTTGTTTGTGTTTGTTGTTTGCCTGGCAATTGTATAAATGTTAGCAAAGGTGAGGAAGGAAAAATGAAATAGTAGTGGAACAGTAACTTTTTTGCAAGTGAGGATGGTTTCAATTAACTGGAATATTTCCATAATTATCTGATGTAATGTGTCAGGAATATGATTTATTTACAGTCCTAGATGCCCTGTTCCATTCCCAGTCAAACCACCAATATTTAAGGATAACTGACTGACACATTGGTGTTTTGTAAGACATTTTTGAGGCTCATTAAGTAGCATAAACAGAAACAAAACCACTTTTGGAGAATTTGGAATCCATATCTTTAGTGCCTTTACTAAGCTCCTGTTCTACCTCACTGTTATAGAATGCAATGCCATCTTTACCTATAGATTTAAAATTTTAAAAGCAAGCCCATCCTATTTAATAGTAATTGTAATAATTTTTCCACTTCTTTCTGCAAGGTCAAAGCATATTTATGATCTTTTAAAGGTATTCTTTACTTGATGGATTAGCTGTACTTTCAAAACCACTGCAGTTTATCAGGTAGTAAGTGTTTTCTACATTTTGCAGCTGCTCTAATCTATTTGCAGGAAACTCCTTTTTTGTTCTATGTACACATTTTGACAACATTCATTATCTGCTAAACAGACCATATTGGTTCTGCAAAATGGTTGATTATAGAAATTCAAATGTAGTTTCCGTACTGAAAAGCAGATTTTTGCAGTAATAGGTTGGATCATTACATTTTACATTATAAAAGCTTTACACCATGTTGAAAGCAGGAGTCAAATAAAATGTTAAGCTTGATACTTTTCAAAATGACTGCTGCATCTACATTTAATTCTGTTTTTCAAAATGACAATTACATCTTTTTTATTATTTAACAAGGAACTTAGAGGCAAACCAAGCAAAAGAAAGAAGAAACTCTCCTGGGAATTGGGATGAGGGAGACAGTGGGGGGAAGAGCTTGGAAAGTCAGAGGAATGCCTGGTTCAAGTTATGTTGCTTTTCATTTTCAAGACTTGATCATTTAAAAAAATATTCCTCTGGGAATGTTAAAAATACCTCTTGTAAATCATTTTCCTAACAATTTTGATTAATATAGAAAATACATTTTAAGAAGATAACTTTCCTTAAAAAAAAAAAACACAATATATGGTTTTGAAGGTGAAAATTATAACATGACTGCACTGTTTAGATAATACTGATCACTGATAAAAACTTTACTTATTGATGAACCACTGTAAATTTTGTGTTTTGTTTCTAATGGGTTTTTCTGGGGATACCTGTCCTGAAAGGGGTTATGGAACTATTATTGACAAAAATAAGCACTAGAATTACATTTTATGAGATGTGGATGATTAAAAAGGCAAAAACAAAAATTACTTTAAAGCACTGTCTGTAATTCATTGTGCAGTATTACTCTGGAGACTCATTATAAATAATCAATTATTCTGATAATGAAAGAAATGTATTTTTGTAATATGGAAAATAATGTAATATTTTTGTTAAAAAAAACAACCTCCTGTGCTCATTAGTAGGTGGGACACAGTTGAGCAAAGAATACATGAGCTGAAAGACAGGATAACAGAAACTTCCATGATAGATATGAAGTCATATCTAACATTAGAATTTGTTTATTAGACTCATCACTAGTTATTGTATTTTTATAACCAAGTTATGTAATTCTTACTTTACCCAACATGAATTATAATCTGGAGATCATAGGCCATCATACATACCTAAAGTTAGTAGAATGTGTGAAATATATGCCAAGTAGGCTAATTTTATTACCATATTACATATTAAATGTCAATGAGAATGATATGTATTTTTCTTATGTTGTTCAAGATAAATTTTCCCTTGTTCTGAGTTTCCATGATATTCCTTGCTTCTTTCATGTGCTTAAATGAGATCATAGGGTTTGGTTTAGTATATAGTCTCTTCATTAATATTTTGTAAGCATACACTTTCCAAAGTATTTCAATATTTCCATTAAACTAAAAATTTTTTGCACAGGACAGTTAAATTTATACATACAGAATTTCAGTGTAAAGCATAATGTTATGCATGTGGTTTGCTAAAAGTTAAAAAAAAAAAAAGAAGAACTCGCATGATAAAGTGCTTCATTTTTATGATGGAAAACCTCCTGTGCCAGTTTTATAAGCTGAGCACATCTAGAAGAATGCCAGCTCTGTTAGTAGCACAAGAAATAATTACCGCTATGGCAACACTTGGGGAATGGGATGTCTGTCTTATCATTTATCTCAACTTGATGGCAAATTATCATACTAATCTTTTTTGTTTCTAGGTTTGTGATGTGAGTGATTTACAATTGTGAACATCAGTTAAAACTGTTTTCTTCATCTTTCTCTTCTCCCCTTTTAGCTCCCTGTGAAGGCAATACTTTCTTCTGCCACAGTAACATGTGTATTAACAATACATTGGTATGCAATGGACTCCAGAACTGTGTGTACCCTTGGGATGAAAATCATTGTAAAGGTAATCATGAGTCCTTGGACTTGGCAAAATCTCTCTATCTGTAGCGTGGGAAGAAGCTTATCCAACGTTCATATGCATCAGCCCATCTTAAAAATAGATTGTATATTGGCTTTATGAACTTCTTGTATGTTTTAGAATTGATTGGTAGGCCTTTTTCTTGGCTTTTATTCATGTTGTTTCTGCATTCCTTAACACACAATGAACTATCTTTTACACTTGAGTGGGTTTACCTGGTGGCTCAGATGGTAAAGAATCTGCCTTCAATGTGGGAGACCCAGGTTCAATCCCTGGGAAGGGAAGATCCCCGTGGAGAAGGGAATGGCTACCCTCTCCAGTGTTGTTGCCTGGAGACTCCCATGGACAGAGATGCTTATTGGCTGATCTCCCTTCTGGAGCTGCAGCACCGTGGACTGGCCACTGGAGCTTCTCAAGCAAAGTCGGCTTTCCTATCAGAAGCTCCTTCGTCAGTGGCTGCACCTCTCTGTCAGTCCCAGTCTGTCTTCATGGGACATTGTGCACATAGTCTAGAGATGAAGGTGTATCCAGGGAACCTTAGGGCTCTCAGGTACCTAAAGACGCTTACCTCGACTTCAGTTTTCCTACCGAAATGCCTTTTTTCCTTTCCAATGAGAATATCTTCCTTTGATCCAGCTTCCTTCTGTGGCCTGTACACAAAGATTTGTTTACATAGAGAGCTGAGACTGAAGCTCCAGTATTTTGGCCACCTGATGTGAGGAGCTGACTCATTGGAAAAGACCCTGATACTGGGAAAAATTGAGGTCAGGAGAAGAAGGGGGTGACCGAAGATGAGATGGTTGGATGGTATCACTGACTCAGTAGCCATGAGTTTGGGCAAACTCCGGGAGATGGTGAAGGACAGGGAAGCCTGGTGTGCTGCAGTCCATGCGGTCTTGGAGTCAGACACAACTTAGCAACTGAATAACAAAACTCTTGGCTTGGTTATGAATGATGCAGGTTTTGGTTAAGTTCAAAGTACCACATACCCTCTTCTGTTCAGATCTTATGTTCACCAATTTGCAAAGAAAAAAAAACGGGCTAATAACGCTCCATACTTAAAGTCCAGTGTGTGTGCATGCTCAGTTGCTCAGCTGTGGCTGACTCTTTTTCAACCCTGCACTGTAGCCCACCAGGCTCCTCTGTCCATGGCATTTCCCAGGCAAGAATACTGGAGCAGGTTGCCACTTCCTCCACAAGGGATGTTCCCAACCCAGGGATCGAACCTGCATCTCTTGCATCTCCTGCAATGGGAGGCGGATTCTTTACTACTGTGCCACCTGGGCAGCCCTAAAGTCAAATATCTTCTATTAAAATATTGAAGCAGAGAGACATTACCACAGTACCTATTGGTCACAGAATCATCAGGAAAAGCAGACCTGGCAACAGTTATTTAGAGGATGTGGGCGATGATCCGTGTTGTGTCCAAGGAACCACTTTGGAATGGACGGGGAATTAAATGTTTTGTGAAGAACCTCATACAGCACTGTTAGAGATTGGCTTTACTTGCTTCAAGCGGATTTGTTGCTGTGGTTCTTGTGGCCCACCTCTCTCCATGGGCAACACCTGTCACCACCACTCGCTATGCGCTGATGGGGAGATGGAGGAGGCAGGGACAGCAGCCCACTTCTCTGGGAGGAACACTGGCGCTTTATGAATCATACCCTGGCTGAGGACGGTGACCTCTGGTCTTCTCAGCTTGCCCCTTCGGATGGTTCCACGCTCTGAGTGAGCTGGGGCGCGTGTGATTGGAGCCTGGTGTGGTCATCCTGCTGTCCAGGTGTAGACCTTCTATCCTACCAGTGGGGCCTGGAGGGAGGGGGGAGTGCCCAGCATTGGCCCCCCAGTCCTGCCTGGGATGGAGAGGCTGCAGGACGGACCTGGGGGTGGAAAGGGCCCAGAGGAATGCTGGCGGCTTGCCCTTCCTGGTGGGGTGGGTGCTGTAGCTCCAAACTGGGGCCCAGAGGGAGAGAAACCATCAGGATGAACTGAGGGTGGAGGAGTTCAAAGGCCACAGGCTCTTCCTGTTCTTAAGGAAATTTAGTGGATTTTCTTGAACGTGTGTACCTCTGTTTGCTGTATGCCATTCAATTTCCGGAAACTTTAAATGTTACTTTTAAAATTTTTGCCAAAACTGTTTCATTGGGGAAAAGACCCACAGAAATCCTCATGCCAGCATTCCAGAAGTGTCTGTCTTAAAGTATAATCATAACCTTTTGACATCAGAAAACTGTGACTTCAGTTATCCACATCAAGAATAAATTCAAAACAATATAGGTATGTTCATATTCCCGTTGGCGGCACGTGTGAGTTTTCTCATACCAATGAGAAGAAAAAGAATTTACTGTTTTTAACATGGCCAGTTGATTTCCAGATGTCATCCTAAAGGTTTTATAAGACCTTCTCCAAAACATATATTACATTTAAGGGAGTGATGCTGTGCAGTGACGGGGGTGGATGGTGATGGCTCTTTCTGAGGCTAGCAGATAGGGCTCTTGTGAAATTCTTTGTGTCTTTTACGTTTAAGGCAATGAAAATTTTTATGTTCAGCCTATTTCATCTTGAAGTTCTCAGTGTACACTTTGACTGCTGTATTAATGCGTGGTGGATTGTTTCTTGTTTTGTTTGTTTGTTGTTTTCGCTCCCTGGACCTGTAGAAAAGAGGAAGGCCGGGCTGCTGGACCAGCTGACCAACACCAGCGGGACGGTCATTGGCGTGACTTCCTGCATTGTGATCATCCTTATTATCATTTCTGTCATTGTGCAGATCAAACAGCCTCGTAAAAAATATGTCCAAAGGAAATCGGACTTTGACCAGACAGTTTTCCAGGAGGTGTTTGAGCCTCCTCACTATGAGCTGTGCACCCTCAGAGGGACGGGAGCCACAGCTGACTTTGCCGATGTGGCTGACGACTTTGAAAACTACCACAAACTGAGGAGGTCCTCTTCCAAATGCATTCACGACCATCACTGTGGTTCCCAACTGTCCAGTGCGAAAGGCAGCCGCAGCAACCTCAGCACGAGAGACGCTTCCGTCTTGACCGAGATGCCCCCACAGCCCGTCAAGCCCCTCATCCCGCCCGTGAACAGGAGGAACATCCTCGTCATGAAACACAACTACTCCCAGGAGGCTGCCGACGCCTGTGATATCGACGAGATCGAGGAGGTGCCCACCACAAGTCACAGGCTGTCCCGCCACGAGAAAGCCGTCCAGCGGTCAGTATCTATAGATTTTTTGATGACAAGTATAACCTGAAGACTCAGATGCTTCCAGCATATTGTGTTCTAGTTTGTCTTCCCATTCCAGTTTCTCATTCATTAATGACAAACCGTAGTATTACAGAGTTTGCCTCTTCTTTTCCTTGTTCCCCTGCTGTCTATACTTTTCCTAAATCCCATTTAGGTACATACAGGTGTGCTTACACAGACCAAAGAGATTTCATTTATTTCTATACGTATATAATATTTATTTCTATAAAAGATCTGGTGTTAACTTATATTGCAGATTTATATGGCTAATTTTCTTCCATGTGATGATAAAGGTTGCTCTCATCAATATTTCTATATTTTAAGATGTGAGATGATATTTGGAATTAATTGCCTTACCAAGGTGGTTAACCCATCTTGCTGAACAATTTTAATGTAAAAATAACATATTTTGCAATATAATGCATTATATTTTTGGTATGAACATTAAAATACTTTTTCCCACATACTACTACATACCACATAATACTTATATTACAGATTGTGTTTGATAGTGTGGTATGCTGAAAACCTTAAACATTTATACTTAATTGTGGCAAGCATTAGTAAAAACATTTTCCTTTTGATATGAAGACAATGTTATCTATATTGTATTATGAGCCCCCTAATTAATAAAAGTCTTGAGGAAAGAAAATTTAAACTTAAAAAAAAAAGTGATTTTAAATCCTCAAATCCAATCTACTTTTGTTTTGCTTTGCATGTTTACTAGCATTTAGTTTATTTTATAAAAGTTCATACTTCCTCAATTCATTATATAACCTCAGAAACCTATTTTTAGTTGATTAGGTATTTTTGCATGCTGATGGAAAAAAAAACTATTTCCACACTTTTATGAATTTTTAGGAATGCTTTTAAGTAAATATTTGTGTGCATATTTATTTTTTTGTGAAAATATTACTTTGTTGAATGAAATAGCCGTAACATTCCAGGTTCTGCCTCATTGGGTCTCTAAGCAAACATGAATCTGAATACAACACAACTAGGGTCTAAAAAGAAAATTCAAGGTAAGCACGTGCCCTTGGCCCCTCCTCCCACTTCGTTGTATTCTGTTTTGTTTTGTTGCAGTCGTCTTGCAGTTTTTTAGGGAATGTGCTCTCTACTCATTATTTCTTGAGATATGTGTTTCATAACATTTCATGATTAGAAACATACTGGATTCAATGCTGATGGATGGATGATTCTTAGTAGACGTAACTTTAAAATACATGTTAATATTCTTACCATCAAGCATTATACTACAATGTAATTTAAAAGGATGTTAATAATAAATTAAACTTTATATGCTTTAAGGTAAAGATACAAAAATTAGTGAAGTCTTAAAAGAAATACCAAAAGAAATCCAAGGTTCTCATAGTTAAAAAAATTGAATACTGTCTCAATATAACTGAAGTCAACATATAAAACTGGCAATAATTGTATCAATTTGGCAATATCTACTCAAAATGCATACACTATTTGGTGGTACTGATAATATTTGCACACTCTTATTTTTGCATGAATATGTAGCTTATTTCATCCAAATTAAATGCAGCATGTTATGTCAAATTTTATAATATAAAATTTGAATGCTTGATAATGTAAAACTTTCCATAAATATCAGTTGTCTATGTGTACCTCTATTTTTGTTATCAGGTAACATAATGGCTTTATTTTTAGCATTTAATAGTCTGTGTCTCTATTAGACTAATTTGTCTCCAGTTACATTTACTTGACAGTTAATCTCTTCAAAGCTCTTCAGACCTATCAACTATTCTTGAATTAGGTGAATGCTTTTCTGTGCTCTATGTTACCTTGATAAATTGGTGGATTTGTGCGTGTATTTCATTGGGAGAAAATGTTTTAACTGTGTTTTATTTTCAGAGAAGAACTATTTATACAAACATGGGGACTGTGAAAAGGAAATTCTATAGTGAATTGTGAAAAGTGGACATATTTCTAAATTCATTCCACTGCCTTTATCCAAACTTAAGAATTACAGACATTTGTTATTACTTCGGCAAGACCTCCCCGCTGCACAATGATATGTTCATTTCGTAATTTGGTTGCAGGCCACCAAGTGCTCCTTAGTTTTTAAATACATTTTGAGATTTACTGGAAACTTGAAGAAGAAATTAGTTCCTGATTGAGACTATCCCAGCTTTATTTTTCCTGTCGGTTTCACTTTGTTTCTATGTTGCTTTATGTCTTTGTTAGATAATTGTACATTGTGTGATATGTGAAAAAAAAACCCACACTTTTGGATGAACTTTGTGTTACATGTACATTGTTTTCATTATATAGACTGCTTGAGAATAGTGCGTTCCTGAATGATTTTGAACATGCTACATTGAAAAGTGAAAATATGGACCATGGAAACACCAGCTAGAGGTTTTATGGACTATAAACATCTGTTGTTGTAATATCATTAAATGCAGCCAAAAGTACTAAGTAAAATTACTAGATTGCAATAAGAAAAATCTCATTTTTTTTTGTCTCTCCTATATACCCCCATTTCCTTTTTTTTTTTTTAATCAAAGGAAGATTCCAAGTTTCAGAAATAGTTTTGAAGTCAGGTATTTTACCTTTCATACCCTTTAATAGAAATGACTTTTGATTAAGCATTTAGCAATATGACTGATTGACAGTTTAAGAAAACACCCTGCATGTAAGTACTGGATATTTGAGTTGGAAAAATATTCTTTTTATTAGACACATTGTAAAAAGCATGCATTCTCTAATACTGCTGTTATTCTTCCATTTCCTGTGTCACATGCTTGCTCTTGTAACTTTTTATATAAAGATATATAAAAATGTATAATAATTTCCTAACCTGAGTTAAGAGAAATGCTTTCTTCTATTAGAGTGATAAAAACTGACTAACATAAGTACACTCTTTATATCAATTCGTCCCACATTTTAGACTACAGGAGGTCCTTAAGAATTAAGGCATGCTTCTTCCAAATTTGACTTTGAAAATTTTATGGAATATGGTCCCCTTTTAGAAAAGAACCTTTTTTTTTCTTAATACTATAAAATCACAAGCCCTATATAACCCAAATTAAACAATTCTGAGTTGTCCTTATACTCAAGGCACATATATAATTCCCGAAAACTTGCTAATTATGATGTTTAATATACATAAATTAAAATATTATAATATATTTAATTGCTTTTGAATTATATACACATTCTACAAAGTTTGATTTAGTGAGTGGGTAATTTTAAAATATTGAATGTGTATTCTTAGAAAATAATTTATAAAAACCAGATTACTATAAATCTGCTTAATAGCATTTCCAAAACTGCTGAATTCTACAGAATTTTGTCCTTCAAATGGCAAAGCTGCCTAGTCTATCACAATTCCAACCTGGTAATGCAAGCAAGCTCTACAAACTCAACAGATTAATTTATTCACATACATCCATGTTGGGAATTCAACTTCACCTGTGTTACAGAAACAAATAAATGTGAAAGAAAAAAGTTATGAAAAGAAAATTGATTATGATAGCAATTCTGAGTAGTCTGTATTTAAAAAATATCAGTCCACAGAAATAATTACTTCATGAATTTGATAAACTGGTGAATAGAAAAGCTGTGTAGAACAGTATAAAGAAAGATTATTTTTATTGTTTTGCTACATATTTTATATACATTATGTTAAAATTTAGTCTTTTTTAATTTGACTTGACTAATTCTTTTATTATCATGCTTGTTTTCATGCCCTTTTTATTTCAAAGTTGATGCATCCAGAGATCTGTATTTAAGTGCTTGGCTATTCTCTCTGCTGTTGTTGATCAGTCGCTAAGTCATGTCTGACTTCTTTGCGACCCCATGGTCTGCAGCACACTAGGCCTCCCTGTCCTTCACCATCTCCTGGAGTTTACTCAAACTCATGCCCATTGAGCCTATTTAAAAATCTATTTAGAAATATTGTCTCTATTTAGAAATTGTTATAAGATCCTACACACTTTGAATGAATAATCTCAAAAAGGATGACATACATGTGAACCACTTACTTTTTACTGTCCCTTGAAATATCCACAGGACTTTTCTCTCTAGTTCTTCCTAAAGAAGCAGGATGCTTCTGTTTTGCTGGTTCAGTGCTGAAAGGAGACGTACAACATAAATCAGGGACTTAGAAAACAAATCCAGCTGCATTAGGTCTAACGACGAAGATAGATGGCTTACATATATTTAACACACAACAGCTCTGTGGAAAACAAAAACATTTCAGATGAAGATAGGCCTCTCCAGTTGTAACACTGAAAATGTCTTAGTACGGGCATTGCCTGATCATCCAAGAAGGTAGTGATGAGTCTGAGGAAGGGACCTAGAGGCACCTGTTGTCCCTGCTGTAACTCTAGATCCTGGGTCCTGAGAGTGCGGCATCCACAATGCCTGAGAGTCCCCTGCGGGAAGATCTTTAAAAGTCAGCATTAAAATTTACCAGCATATGTATTGGCTATATCAGACCATGTCACCTGAATATCAACCTTTGATTTAAATTCAAATAGGGAGACATATGTAGATAAGAAAAGGATATTTTGAGACTTTCAAGATGTTTCAAATCAAGTTATTTTAATAAAGATACGTTTTTGTATTGCATAATACAAAATATGCAAATATCACTTGCTTTATTAATCCCATAGATGTTTTCTAATAGCGTAGTTACACAGCACATTCATTCATTTGAAAATAGTTGTTTCGGTTTCAATTCTCTATGTTTGAATTCACTTTCAACATCTGGGAGGCATATCATGGTTATGTGCAACACCTCTGAAACCCTGAATGAAGGTTTTTTTACTTCTGTCCAAATGCATTTTAGTTGCCTAATTCAAGTCTAGTGTGCTGATTCGGAAATACAATTTTTTGCACTTGATTTTATACATATGCCATTTTTACATATCATATTGGAGAATAATCATATGTAATGTTTGATTGGCCAAAATTAAATTCCATTTGATTAGAGAATTAAATTGTGGCTATAAACCTAATTAGAGAGGTAAGAATAATAAACTCAACCTGCTTCAGACTTCAAACTTATGAGGGTTGGTTCCCAGAAGACTCTTGTTACTGCACGAGCGTGATTATAAAGTTAAACCACTTATTTTTATCCACAGTTGTGCAGCCAACGTGTTCTTGTTTATCCCCAGTTTCTATCACCTCCCCATACTCTAAGGCATTGTCATTTTACATTGGCTCATTCTTTGGAAAAATAAAAAAATGTTACCCTCCTCTTAGTGGACACAGATCTAGACACAAAATGTAAAAGTGGCCGGAAAACACAACATATAAATTATTTAAAATAAAATTTCCTTATATCACATTATAAAATTTGTGCTTTCCATTCGTTTTCTCATGGGCTAAGTTTAACATCAGTATAGCCAGCGTTTTTTGAGCCTGTACAAACTTGTACCAGGACTCTTCCTAAGTGCTTTGGGGACGACAATAAAAGGTGGCGAGCTGACAAGCAGCGTAATTATGGAGCCTTATAGAGGAAAGTGTTCTTAGAGGAGGTCAGTAAGGAAAATGAAGTTCAGAATTATTTGCTAAGCTCTCCATTAGAAAAGCTAATTAGTTACTTCCTGCTAAATTGGCATGGAAGATGAAATAGATTCAATTGTCAGGAGTGTACAATACAAAGAGTGTTTTATAAGAAAGACATTATTAGCACAGATATGGAGGTAGGATATAGTCTCAAGGAGAAAAGAGAGGCTTAATGAATAGTTGCTTTTCTAAGCAGATCTTCAAGATTGAGGACTGTGGCCAAGTAATATATCAGGGAGATTTCCACCCAGAGAAATCAGAGCGAGAACAGTCTCCCAAGGCCATGGATTTGAGTTGGCTAGAGCAGAGGATTAGACTAAAGGAATAATAGTCAATACAGTTGGAAGAGCAGATTTGCATTTAAATCATGATTTCTGAGTGCAGGTAATGCCATCCAAGGGATTTCACATTTCATTCTCAGGATTTCAACATCTCAGCAAAGTTTGGCTGAAAAATTGTACTTG